ATATATATTTATATGTATATTTATATTTCTTAATTTGAAATTTTTACATTTAGTACTTCCCGTCCGTTCTAGAAAGACCTCTGAATTCGGCGAAAAGAAAGGCGCTGAAGGCATTTATCAAGGACTTCTGCGATCTTGACTTGGTCGGTGTTTTTTTTAGAAGGCAGAATCATTTGATGAATTTTCTTCCAGAGATATCTCTTCCATACAAAACGGTTCCTTTGCATAGTTTATGCACTGAGGAGCATATCACTTGACATACCCGGTTATATTGAGATCTTGCAAAGTATACGTGGCAGTCAAACAAACTCTAAAGAGCCATTTTCTTTGACATCTGTCATGAAATTCAAGTAAATTTTGTTTCATTTCCTTTTTCCCAGCTTTTATAGATTTAAGAGCTAAATTTCTGTTTAGTTGCGAATATCTTGGCTTCCTCTTATCCTTCCGTCGCAGTTTGCTTGATGATGATCATTATGAACAGCGAGATATTATACTGTCGAGTCTTGCTGCTATCATCCGCCTAATCGATGAAAATTTTCTCGAAGAGGTCTGATCTGCATCATACGTGCGATAGGGTGTAAATTGGCTTCCTTTATGGGATGGGAGGCAAGTTAATCTCCCTTCGATGAAAGAGACTTTTTGGCGTATTTCGCCAAAAGCAAGGATGAAAATGGGACATGTATATATCCATATTCTGCTAGTTGCATTTTAACATGATTATGAAGATGGATCGAAGCACAAAAAAGTTTTTGCACAAGGTGATTTAATATAAACAAATCAAAGAAATGTAGGTCACTGTCATATTGTAGGGTTTTGATCGAGAATTTTGAACTTATATCTGAGAATAAAATAATTTTTTCTTATTGATGTATAATGCTTTGAAAGGACTAGCTGGAAGAATAACGTCCATAAGCAGAATTTAAACTCCTAATATTACATTAGGACCGGATTTAATGTCTATAGTTGCGCTGTCCATTAGGCGTTTATTTGGCTAAAATTACCACCCCATTAAGCGAGTTTGCAGCGTTGTTAAAATTGCTAGTGCTGAAAACACCTACACTCTTATACGGTAATCCTAACGTATCAAAGAGTGCTAAGATTTTTCTTAATGGAAGTCTATGGGCTCTTCAAAATGAATTATTTTCTTCCAAAAAAGATCCTGAAACAAAATAATGATTAGTGATCAAATAGCGAGAACATTTGTTGAGACTGCAAATTCGATACTTTGTTCCGCCAGAGACGTTTATACGAGCAAAGATTTGGTAGACTTACTCAAGTATTTGAAAACCATATGAATTAATTAGCTCCACTTACCGTCGCAAATTTATCCACAATTTACGAGAATATATTAGGGGTTAACTAAAGTGGAGGTGAGAGCGACAAAAGACTTTCACAGCCTCAAAAGCGTCCCCCTCCCCCCCTCCTCCCCTCCCCTTGCCCTTCCATCCCCTTCGACAACACTTTTCTTACATGCGAAAAGCTTGATGCGACTGCCCGGGAAAGTCAGTGTTCACCCTACTGCACGTTTGATCTGTATTTTTTGTTTCCGTTCCTTTCAATCCTTTTTTGAAGTAAATGATCATAGTCATTGAAGACTTGCCATAAAATTATGGTTGTTTTGCGTGCTGCCACAGCTGTTGGAGAAGGTTCAATAGCGGTATGGTCAGAGTTTGTGAGGAGACTCAGTGACGGGTTAGTTTGCAGTAGAGGTTAGTGTCTTCTTTGTTCATGATTTTCCACTTCATTGATTGAAGGATGCTTGCCAGTTTGCTGCCAAAAATACTAATCGCTATCCAGCCTCTGCTGAAATTTTCTGCTACAAACAACTTGCTGGATAGCATTTTCGATCGGAAGAAGCCTCTGGAGATTGAACAGAGGTTTTTCATCAGTTATACTTGAATTTTTTTTTATTATGAACTTAAACAACGTGCATGTGCTATTCAGCGAAGCATTCGAAAGAACTGCAATGGTTTTATTGAGCAGTGAAGTGGGTGACCCATCACGTATTAACTTCCATCTCAAGAGAACGTGCTCAAATGATTCCAAGGAACATGTAATCTCCAGTGAGTTGCTCATTTCAAAAATTCTCCAAAAATTCAAAGGAAGTGGTCAGGTTGTGTGCGCATGTTGCTTGAGGAATGCGATACAGTTGGTAAAGTGGTTCTTCATAAGCTTCTGAATGTTCTCGATGG